CTCTGAATCAGCCCCTATCTATAACCACCATATCTATAACTACATAACTGAAGTCGTGAACATAAAGCTTAATAATGAGACATCTAGGCCCAAAATGTGTAATTTACAATAGTGTTATACAGTATAAGAGAGTAAGTAAATTGTGCCTACTTTAAAAAATATATAGAAATATAATATACTGTGTGTACTAAAGATGGTGTACGGTATTGTTCGGAATTTTACTACAAGATACGAAATGTTCATACCTGTATTACGTTGCTGAATATAGGATGTGTACTCATTAGCTGCCTGGCCATACCCCACCACTGAGTGCCCATACCAGAGAAGACGAATACTGTTCTGTTAATGGAATTTCCCTCTGGGGCCTTGCCTTCTAGAGTCTTGCTAGAGTCTACATTTCCTTCAACCTTTCTACGAAGAAGCTTCACAAGTTCACTTCTAGACTTAGCTAACAATGCTAGTCTGTGTATATGATGATGAGATCGGACACTGGCTGTGTACAGTGCATTCAGGAATGAATCAGGTTTCATTTCGAGCATCTCAACAAGGAACTCAATCCAATCGGAACATTTCTGCTGGAGAGCTTCTTTCGAAGTTGCCGATAGTAATAACATGTGATAATCGGCATCACCAGGATTCGTTATGTTTATTAAATTGTTGAACTGCTTCAACGGAGGCGCCTCAAGAACGACATGCGCATTGGCCCCACCAAAACCGAATGAGCTACATCCTGCTAGAAGCTTTGATCCTGCAGGCCAAGGCATGCTTGAGGAAGGAACTCTTAACCTGAGGTCTTTGAAATTGATGTTAGGATTACCACGTTTGAAATGAACAACACCTGGAATTTCTCGGTGGTACAAAGACAAAGCTGTCTTTATGACACCTGCTATACCAGCAGCGCCCTCTGCATGTCCTACGTTAGACTTTATGGAACCGATAAAAAGAGGTGCTGCATCATCTGAACGCCGTTTGCTCATGGCTTCACCGATAGCATTCGCTTCTGTCTTGTCACCAACTGGAGTACCAGTACCATGTGCTTCAATATAGGTGATATCCCGTGGATCTACCTTAGCTGCTGCACAAGCTTTCTCTACAAGATCAATCTGAGCATCGAAGCTTGGATTTGCAATCCCAGGTGTCCGTCCATCATTTGTCAGAGCGCCACCTCGAATCACTGCGTAAATTCTGTCTCCGTCTTCGATAGCTCTCTTAAGTGGTTTAAGTACAACTGACCCAACACCTTCACTTCGACTGTAACCGTTAGCTGATTCGTCAAAACTTTTACACTGTCCATCTGGAGAAAGCATACCAGCTTGACAAAATCCAATCGTAACGGAAGGGGTAAGTATGATATTGACTCCTCCGGCAATTGCTGTGTCACAAATTCCTCCTCTGAGAGCATCACAGGCAATTTGTACGGCGTAGAGTGAAGACGAACAAGCGGTGTCAATAGAAAAGCTAGGCCCTCGTAAATCGAATTCGTACGAAATACGATTGGAGATCATGCAAGTGTTCGTTCCTGAATTTGTATATTGACCAATGTTGCTTTGTGGGAAGCCAGTAAGAAGAAGATACTCGTTTGCAGTCACTCCCATATATACACCTGTGTTTGAACCACGAAGGGCTGAGGCAGGGATTCCAGCATCTTCGATCGATTCCCAAACAACCTCGAGGAGAATTCGTATTTGTGGATCCATGTGTTCGGCTTCATCTAAAAAATAGAAAATATCATATGAGTAAATGTTTGTTTTTATATTTAATGTCGGATCTATATGTAGGTTTGTACCATTTATTGGTTGGCCTTTGTATTTATTCTGCCTTCTGTCTGGCATCTCTAGCCTTGGTTGTGTCACGACATAGGAGCTACATTATTTTAACTTGACTACCGGCCATTGTTGTATAATCAGGAATAAAAAACACATTGCGAAGCATTTCTACTCTTCACCAATGGCACTACAACCGGCGACTACTAACAGTGGCTCCTCCCTCTCCTCACACAGCTGTGTTGCTTGTTTTATTCTTAAATAGGTCTATGGTATTCTAAGAGGAAAAAACCCCAGTAAATCACTAAAGTTAGAATACCAGTGTTGTTAATTGTTTGTTAGCCCTTTCTGCTGAACCCACGCGGATCAGAGACCATTTGTAACTCTCTCATACTTCCCACCATTTTACCATACAAAATTGGAATGAAAATATAGTTATATTAATTTTATTATATTTGTTATTTCAAACACATCGGAACATCAGGATGCCTTAAGAATTGGACATATATCAAAATACTTTACAATGCAACAACAAAAACTTAGTATCAAGTATCACTATTAACTAAACTTTATTCCAAATCAATTGAAACATCAAAAGAAATATGAATATCAAGTAACATGACAATTTGAAGAACAAAGATGTTGAAAAGAAATGGAAAGGGGCATTCAAAACAAGCAGAGTTTTACATATGCAGGCCCGTAGCCGGGGGGGGGCGAACCCCCCTTTTCTAGCGAACCCCCCCGAATTTTTGAATGGGTCCCACTCGGACGGAATGTCTGTTTTTAACTTACCCAGCATTAAATCAAAATTTAGCACCTAATTCATTATTTGGTCATCCGTTTTTAAATTGTAGCCTGCGATACAAGCCTACATTCATAGAATATCTCAGCTTCAGAAGTTCGGAGATTTAAATTGAACGCAACTCCGGCAAACCATGACTTTACGATAGCTCACATAAGGATG